GCCTTGCTCATAAAATTTCAGTCTTGAGTAGCAAGCCAACTTCAGGAAATGCTAAGTAATAAGCAGGGATTACACTCTCTTATAAAACACTTTTCAGTTCTCAGGTGGCCCATTAGTCATTCCTCCCAAGTCAAGATTTCATATTTAACTGTTTTGAAAAGATCAAAGCAGAAGTTTCTTCCTCATTTTCGTCTTGATAGCATTTTGCATTCAGACCTGGAATTAAAACCGGTGTTACTTCATTTCCTGTATCCAATTTCCATTTTACATTAATTTTGTTCTTTATAGCCACAATCAGAAGAAGGGCTCAAAAATGTGAAAAAGAGCTGTTCTCCAACCACTACACAGCTCTTACCATCATTTATTGCATTATCAATAAAAGGGGCTAGCAATAACTGTTACTTCTAAAGGAGAATCAAATAAGCTCTGTTTATAGTACAGCCAGCAGCAAGATGACTTTACTAATAGGTAACAAATTGCCAATCTGATTGTAGCCAGCTGTCTAGTGAAAAACTGGAATCATGCATTGATGTTTTGGAAAGCTTGCTTTTGTAAAATGTTGGCTGGGTGCAGCACTATTTATATGCAGCCCATCCATGTACTGCATTTGAGATGAAGGGATAGCTACCATCTTAAAACAGCTGTAAAATCATCTCTGCCATCAAATCATACAACCTGGGTATATTTTAAAATTCATTTTGATTTTAATTAGGACAGTGAAAACTCAGAGTCCAAAATAAGCAGGTATGCCAGTCTACTCTTTAAGATGCCAGTCTGTCAGCTCTTGCATTTATTCTATTCTACTTCGATAGGCTTAAACCAGATTTGCAATGACATAAACATAGACACTTTCTTGGGCTCCCCCATCTTGATGATCCTACAACCTGATTAGGAGGGCTTGGGAGGCCAGGGGGAGGAAAGCAGAACAGAAAGGGCGCTTACTTACTCTTTGCCACTCTCCTCCAGCAGCTCAAGCTGACTGCATGCTGGCAGACTTTCATTTCCCAGGTCTGTAATTGCTTGCCCCAGTTATATCTGTCTCAGAGGCCACCCTCTTCCCCGCAGATGCCTAAGCAGAGTTATCAGGTTTGAAAGGCAAGTGAAGGGAACAAAAAGCACCAAGTTTGACTGACTCTCCTGGCACCTCCACCTGAATGCAGACTTTTATCTCTGTTTTATCTATGTAAGACTTGTAGGTGCACTGCTTTCTGCCTCTCTAGAGCTTCTTCATCCATTCTTCATCCACGCTGAGATAACAGGTTTGCTCCATCCCTACACAGCCCCTGCAACTGGCAGTCTGATAAAGGATAAGCTATCCTGCAGCAACCTCTCTAGCAAGCTAAAGCAAACACAGTTAACGCCCCCATCTAGCAGGAGACAAAGTAGCTTCTGCATTTTCATGAGGGAAATCAACAAAACAGAAGCAAGACATAGAAAAGGTGTTTTTCTCCCTCCAACACTCTAGTTCACTCTTTCCTCTGGTCCCCAGTACAGACTTGTGGAAGTTTGGTTTGTCATGTAGATACTTTTCAATTCTTTTTGAATAATTAAAATTAAAAAACAATAATAAAAGCTTTTGGACTATTCATAGTAGGATTTTCTAGTTTCAGCAGATTTCTTACATCTGAGGACCAAACCAAGGGTATCATTAAAGTTCCAATCAAGCTCATGAGTTAGGGGCACAAGCCTTGAGATGAACAGTCCTCTGAAACATGGACACAGCAAACCACAGCAAAATATATTTTCTTTCAAAAATCCTCTTTCAAATAACATGATATGTAGACATATGTCAGTGACATTACAGGCTTAAATCAAAATGAAAGGGTAAGATAGCCTGAAGAAGCTACACTAGTTTAGTAACTGGTGAGGGTCAAAGGGGTTACAGAAGCGCTACTGGCTTTCCACACGTATGGCTCGTGTTTGCCAGAGGAAGACAACTCCTGGCAAACCACTCACTTTTAATGAACTTCATTTAAGAAAACAACTGTTCTCAGAAAACATAGCCAAAAAAAAAATGGGTTGTCTGCTCACATTATTATTTTATCATTCACAAATAAGTCTCATGAACTTATGGCTTTGCAGAAAGAAAAGATGTCTTGAGTAAGAAGAGATAGTGACAGAGCTCTGCATACATGGGACCAAATGCCTTGCTGTAACCCACAGACTTCATTTTGATCTTTACTTACTGTAGGATTTTCAGGGTAACAGGAGCACAGTTTTGGAGTGCCCATATCGGTATTTCTTCCACTTCTTTTCACGTATCGCCACCTTTAGCACATCAACTCTTCCCAGCCCTAACAGAAGCCTGGAGTTTAAGGGTATTTATTTTTTTTGCCTTTCACAGAGAAAACAAAAAAAAAACAAAAACCCTAAGACTGGCCCAAGGCTAAACAGCCCTGATGGAGGTGAGCTAATGCAAAAGTTCCCACAAGAGGTCACAGTTAAGCACTGACAGTTTTGCATACAAAAACACAGACACAAGGACTAGTTAAAGTATGAGTTTAAAGAATTTTATACATTCCTTACTATAATAAAAGTATGTATTTTACCAGAAAATTCCCAGATTTGGTAATTTATTGGCTAGTCTTCACTAAAACTGCAGAATCAAAAAACAACCGCATTCCTTCTATTAGGTGTCCTACTGGCAGCAGTGAAAGAAGGATGAAAGCAAATGCAATTCACACACCTTGTCTAAAGGACTATTTCAAGTTTACCAGAACATCTTTCTACAGGGTGCAGAAGCCCAGGTGCTGGTAGGGGGTTGCAGGGCAGCTGGGGCTGTCCCATGCATGTCAAGGCAGTTCCATCCAGCTCACTATAGGACACTGCTGAAGCCGTCAGCTGCACCGGTGCTACATCAGGGAACATGTACTTAAGAAAGGGAAAAAACACCACACAGACAGTGAGGTGTGGAGAAGATGTGTGAGTTCCATAGAAGAACCAACTGAAGCCTGGCTAAAAGGGGAGGAACAAGCTGTTTTAATTTTGTCATTGCTTTTCTCCCTCCAAATCTATTTTAACTGGTAAAAAACTTAATTTTCCCCAAGTGAAGCCTGTTTTGCAGTGATTGACAAGTGATCTTCCCATCTCTATCTCAACCCATGAGCTTTACTGTCTTATTTTCCTGTTATGTCCTGTTGAGGAAGGGGAGTGGAATAGTGGCTGGGCATGCAGCTGGCCAAGGTCAGCCTACCACAGTAACTGCATTTCCACAGTAACTAATCTTTAGGCTTTTCTAAATATCTCTTTCAAATCAGTTCCAGATTAATGTGAGAGCTCATTTTAGTGCTTCTTAGTTTTAAGGACACAACAACAAGGGAAAAAGGGTTTGGAAGTCCATGCTAACGTCCAACATACCATCTAAGTAGCAAGAAAACCATCTCTTAGCAGAGACATCTTTTTCTTAAAGGTGTATTAAGGATGGTGGTGTTAGTGCTGTGCAGTCTGACAGTGTTCAAGCATTCTGACTCTACTTACTCATCACAAATCCTGGACAATTCCACTAATCTTCTGCCCAAAACTTTATTTTTATATTCACGCTAGTAATGGAGACAAAATTGAGCCATTTCAGGCACTTAAGGGACTTCTTCATAGCACTACTATTCAGTATCTACAAAAGGAAATGCTACATTGTTAAAAAATAATGACCTTTGTATTTTTATAACATGAGGAAGTGCTTGAACATTCAAAATAAATAAAATTATACAACATACCAAGAACTGGGGTTCCTGGAGATTAGTCATTATTTTACAGAAAACTTGTGGGGAAGAGGTGAACTTTCAACTGTGATTTTTGAGTCACTGGTTAACACACTGGATAAGCAATCACAATTTAAGAAAGAAAGTTCAAGGAGAAAGAAAATAATTTGAAAACATCACCAGTTTACTGAGCTTTTGGAGGAGCTAAAACACACACAAAACAACTGGGAAATAGCACATTTTCCTCATACACAAGAGGGGCAAACATGAAAATAAGGCTTTTGCGATAGGTAAGTTAAAGGCATTTAAATGAAAGAAAGTGAGAATCAGAAGCAGCAGAGAATGATGTTTTAATCCCCTCTCTCCTGTCAGGTCCTTATTTTGTCCTTCTTTCCCCCCACACCACCATCTTCTATAGACTTCTGCCATCTCCCTACCTGCTCCCAACATAGGAAGTGTTTCTAAGGGCCTAATACTAAAACTTGTACTCTCTCCACTCTTGAATTTTGTAACCTAAGGCTTATGGGAGATTTTACTTGTTAACAGAGACCAACATCTAACAAACTATCACACCCTTCTAACCATCACCCATTGGTAGATCATCCCCAAACTCTATCACCACTTATTTGCCACTCAGAGACAGTCTACTCCTTGAGATTCATCCACACTGCAATCATTGTACTACAGATATACCTAAACCAGTTATTCACAGGCTAGCTCAGGCAGAAGTGGTAGAAAACTCTGCACAGGGTGCAATACCCAGCTGCACAGGGTCAGGCTGTTTAGCTTTCTGCACTGGCAAAACCCCTCAAGCTACTTTTTTTAAGGCAAGCTAAGCGTTTCTGCATGAGCAACAGTCACAGTAGGGACTGCAATGTAGATATAGTCCAGAAAACTGTACCTGCAAAGATTTGCCCTCAGAGAAAAAAAGGCAATTAATTCCCTAAACCAAAATGGATCCCTGAGGATCTGTGCAGAGGTCAAGAAGTTTTCTCTGCTTTAATGCTGTCCACAGCACAATAACATCACTAAGGAGCAAGTTCTCAACAGCTGCCACAGTTTGAGGGGTTTGTGTATCACAGTGACAGTTTGTAAAACCAGTCTAAAACTGTATTCATTAAACACCCATCAGAATTTCTGCAGTCTGGGAACGATGTTGTGGAGACCAACTGTTCTACTTCCCTTCTGTGGACGCTCATGCTGATAATGCTCTCAAAAGGAGATAGGCTGGAGATGTGACAGAAGCACTGGACCTTACCTGTGGACAGCCAGCCTCCTTTACACTGAGGATTTTTGGTAAGTTCTGCTGGAAGGTGCAAAAGGACAAGGGAAGTTTTACTGACAGCAGAAAGAAAAAGTCTGTGTTCAAACACTTCCTCTGGAGGACATAAGCACTGGTCACACCTTAGGGAAAGAAATCATACCAAAGGCAGTGACTATGTATTGTGTACAAAAGCTACCTATACTCAAAGTAGTGACTGCTCTCTGTGTTACTGGAGCCAGATACTTTATATTGTTGCCACCATACAAAACAAAAAAAAAAAAATCCACAGCATTTTGTACATTTAAAATGCATATAATAGAACTGAAAAAGACCTTCTCAATGCAGTGCAATACACAAGTAACTGAAAAGAAACAATTGTGTGGTTTTCTGCCTCCTGGGTAGTTAACACTGCTTTTAATTTCCTCTCTGTCTTTTCATATTATCATCTGCAAAAGCTCATGGCCAAGAGTTTGCCCTGGTAATAGCTGACTGTTCTCTTTGATATCATCACTCCTTGCTCTTCATGGACAGGCCAATATTCATTGTGATTAGCAAGGGACAGCCCTGTCTATCCAGATTAGTCATGAATAGTTAGCAGTTCACTCCATGCATCATCACTAATTGCTGTAAAAGAAAATCTCTGCATTTCTTTTTTAAACAAAAAAAGACCATGATTTTCTCTCTCCAGTGAAGGCAACAATGCTTCTCTGGTGTTCAACAGAACTGGTGAGAATTTGTTTCTGTCAGTAACTCCAAGAAATAATAACTTATTGGTTAGGGTTTTTTTTATTCTTTGAGATTTAATGTTCCATGAACCTGTACTAAAAATTACTTTCTAAAAAGACGCAGAAAGGTATTATTCAGGCAACTCATAGTTATCCCAGTCCTTAAACTGCATGACCATGCATTCCTACATGATAACCCTAAGGAAAATGTAGTGACAAGTCCTACCATGCTGTGGATGAGCGAGGTGTGGGTGAGCATGCATGCCTAGTCCTACAAAGACATGAAGGTATTATTTTGATTCCCAGTTTAGCACATGTTCTTAGAAGAAAAAAAACAAACCACCACACGTTAAACAGGATACAGCTTTATCTTCCCCTGTGTTTGGAAGTCTCTCTGTGAGAAATTTGTTTTTTCTCGGAAGTCAGACTTCTAAAATTATCAATTACTTTTTCTTAAGAGACATTTTTAAAATAACTTGGATTTGGGGTTTTATTTTTCTGATTATTGTTTGGGTTTTAACTGATCTGCTATTAAAACATGCCCATGGTGACCTTCCTGGTTTTGTGGCCTATTTATGTGAAGCAAAATAGCACTGAGCTGATACCAATAGTGTTTTAAGAGATTCTTTCATAAATATGACATTTTGAATCCTCATTCATTAAAAAAAATATGCAATTTGTAATCATGGCACAAATCATGTACGTACCATTTTCATAGAATCATAGAATAGTTAGGGTTGGAAAGGACCTTAAGATCACCTAGTTCCAACCCCCCCCGCCATGGGCAGGGACACCTCACACTAAAAATTTTGCTGTAGGATAATTGTTTTGCTTCAGAAAAAAACTTTTTTTGCAATCAGATTTTTCCCCTGCAATGAAATAAAATTTGTGTAAGATTGATTTAGCAAATTTTATCTGCCAGAAGAGTGCTGTTGATTGATGCAACCTTCTCCACCAACAGGACAGCACCAGAAATCACACTGCAAAAATAAAGGAAATATAAATGGAACAAAGAAGGGCAGGTGAACAAATTTAAAAAAAAACAACACTGTAGAACCATCAAGGATTTTACAGATGCTACACTTGATACAGTCATGAAGGCAAGGAAATAAAGTTTCATACTATTTTCAGACATGTCTTTCTGCTGCCCTTCCTCTGCCATCACTGCCAAATAACACGACCATGCCAGCTCAAGCCAGAAACTCCAGTTTAGGCTAAAGCTCTCTTTTGGGGTTACTTTTGACATGAAAATAAACTCTGATCATGGTGCTGACATATCCAGTAAATCCTTTTGGTCATCAATAGCTCTCTCTACATCAGTAAAGTCCAGAAAAATTAAATCTGAAGAGAACAGCATTTTATTTCCATAAAAGTAAAGTAGATTTATAAACAAAATAATTCAAGGTCAAGAAAGATTTTTGCCTTGGATATAAACAGCAATTACTATGTTAGTGATGAGTTATGAGGGCACCTTGTATCAAGACTTTTTTTAGCTTAGCTTTTTGTTGAACATCTGGCAGACGCAGCAGAGAAGGGATACTTCTGAAAATGTCCTCATTCAATCAATACATGAACACCTCAAGAGAACATTTGAGGAGGATTTGTGTGTCCTATTTGAAGTTTTGACCTGGAGCTGTCACCATTTAACATTCACCATAAACTATTTTGATTACTATTGTCAGATTCCAAACAGAAGACACAAGCCATGCAAGCAGAATATTTAAACCTTTCTGCTGTTCTTCTGCAAATGTGGTAATGAAATCAATCCAGTAATTAACTAACTGCTAATTTGTTGCTGTGCAGCCATTAGTGTGGTGTCACTCTGGCACCTATATATTTAGTTTTCTTGTATTGTTACCTTGTTCTGCATTTTTCCAGGGGATGCATTGTGAATGTTATTCCATATTCCAAAGTCTCCATGTACATTACTGTTATCAGCAACACACATAGCCTATGATAATAATTTATAAAGCAGCTGGAAAAACTCCAGGTATTGAGATTTTAACAACTGCCTCCATATCAATAAGATTTTTCTGTATTCTCTTTCAGAAGCCTCTGTTTTTTACACTAATTCTAATGCTTAAAATATGAGCTGTTCTATAAAAACTGACTAAAGTACATACCTTTCTCTGAGAATATATGCAGAACCTTAAATCTGCACACAGCTAATACTAGGTAAAGCAACACAAAAGTCCACTTGCACAGAGCAGTTTGAAGAATCGGGGCCTTAGTGAAAGATGTTATTTTTCTAAATGATATCAGCACTTCTAGACCCTTAAAAACATATTTTTCCTACAAAATCTCTTTCATCTTTCTGATCTCAGGCATTCCTAAATGACTAAACATGAATTAAAGACATGAGATTTAAAACACATTTTGATTGTCAATCTAAAACATCTTTTATTCATCTGCAAAGTCTTAATTAAGGACCTATCTCCAGCTTCCTTTTCTTTTTCCCTAGTGACTATGGTGTAAGTCCTACTTTAAGACATTTTAATTGTGAACATTCTAAACATCAGCATGATACACTGTAAATTCAGAACTAAGAATATCTGAAAACAAAATTCAGTAAATAGAGGTCTGCAATGTCACTTCTGCATTGTTAACTGCAAGCTTAGGCTGTCCTCACAGGAGAGTGAGCTGGAGTAAATGTGAGACATATGCACACTTCTAGTCATATGTCACCAAACATCAGGGTCTAGGAAAAAATAACAGGTGCAATCTTCAACTGGTTGTTGACAGTGACACCTTTAACAAGGCTTAGCCCCATCAACAAACGTAGACATACAGAAGCCCGAACAAAGGTGTCATGCTAACAATTCAGGTGATTTTTAATCCTATAATTCCTCCATGGATGGAAGCAGTTCAGTGAGAACAAGTGGATACTGAGGGCTGAAACAATATTATTTTATCTCTTTATTTTAGCAGAACCTAAGCTGTGCCTTACCTGCTGATTAGACAGGCAATCAAGTACCCAGTGCACATGTGCACGACTACTCCTATCTCTAAAACACAATTATTCTTAAGCTATCATTTCAGATGAAGGTCTACATAAAACAAAAAGTTTGTTTCCTCTGTGGTCTTTTCACTAGCCAGAGTGCAACTTAGGTGGGGTTGGAGCAGCAGTAGAGATGCAGAGATCTCTTGGCTCGAAGAGCTAAGGGAACACTCAGAATGAAAAACTTTCCTTTCTTTCCTTGCCATGCCTTTTCTTTCTGCATCCAAGAGGAGAAGGTCAACTCCTTCCTGTTGCCTGCGCACAAAACACACATATATTACGTTCAAGACTTCTGAACAGGGAGTACAACTCTCTGTTTGTCTCACCAGCTGATTCTCATGCTGGGAGGAACTGTTCTTTCTGACACCTCTGGAAACTAAAGATGATTTTACTTTTTTTCTCTTCGTGTAATAAGATTGGCAAAGGGCCATCTGGCATCCAGAGGTCTCATCTGGGATTCAGGTTCCAATTCTTGCACAGTGGGAGAGTTCCAGTAACACTGGTAGGTTAGAAAGAGTCAGAAATCCTTGTAAGTCAATAAATTGCCTGCTCACAGCCTGAAGTAGGAAAGAATACATCCTGTGCAGCTAGTGGTTCTTTCTGTGTCTGTTAGAGTAACTCCTGATTTTAGGGCTTCTAGTCACGGCAGACATGCAGATTTAGATGGGGTTCTGGCCTTCAAACTTACACCAAACTTCTTACTAAATCAAGAACCATTAGAATATCTCTGATGCAATACTTCCAGGTAATTAGGAGCGTACATTTAATTCAAATATAAAAGTTTAAATGAAGTTACAGCCTCCCTACATAACTCTTATTACCTACACCACAGTATGCACTGGTACAAGAAAAAAATTTCAACAATAAAAAAAATCACTTCCTAATTCTATAGTTCACTAAAGCATCCTATATTGTTTCCATATGTATTTTTAGGCCTTTTCACATAAATTGAGTGACTTTAAATTAAATTTAAATAAATAATCTTCACAATTGACTCCAGCTTCCCTTAGAGACATTTCACGACTTACCTTCAGTGTCAAAGAACTGTTACCTGCTCCATTACAAAACCCCAAGGAAGACATGATTATGTAGTTTTTCACAAGGCAAATTAGACAAGGTCACACATATACAGGGAACAAGGACTGGAAGGAGTGAAATGTATGGTTATGAGAGACTAAGTAACTAATAGAAGAAACTACTGACTCTGAACTATGCTGTGATTTTTGTGGTGTTGGCATATGTCACTTATCTTGCTATAAAAGATGAAATATAAATCTTCTTAATAATGAAGACAGTCTGAAACGCACTGGGAATGAGGCACTGTGTAGCAATGTGCACTGCTTGCAATAGTTTAGAATATCTTCCTCCAGGTTAGGCTTTCATAATGCACAGCAAATTCACATTCACTCAGAAGTGA